GCATCTGTTGAATGGAATCAAGCTAGTAGGCACAGATCCCAGTGCAGGTGACCCTACCTGAGGCCTGGCAATGGAGTTCTGAAACCTAAATGCACAGGCAAGTAAGAACTAAAGATAGCATACATCAACAAACAAGGAAGTTACTCACTGTTTCTCCATTCACAGCAGTAGAACACTGGGTCAAAAAGGGGTAGCCCAGTGGACTTTAGGTGGGGATTGCAGTTATCACCTGCTTCAACTTTACCTTAGCTATTTCATCTATAAATATTCCTTACAACATTTTCTTTTTGTACAACAGCATTACTGAAAGTCTTAAGTATACTGTATCAAGATGTGTTTTAGTTCTGGCTTCTATTCATGAATTCCTATACTAACACATAAGACACACTGTAAAACATTAAAAAAAAACCCAAAAGGCTAAAAGATGAGATAAAAAAAGTTTATTTAGTTTCTTCTCTTATTCTGAGATCTACCATCTTATTTTAGAAACAAATGAAGAGTTATAGTTGGGTGAATCTTAAGACCTCTTCTGGCACTAACCCTAAGTAAATCTAAGTAATATAATACCAATTCTTCTCTCTAAAATTGCAGCCGATCTAGCACAACTCAAACAGGCCCTTTCAAAGCCCAATTCAAAACAAACTGTAGATGACAAAAGTTAGATGATCTCCAATAGTTAATCATAGGTCCTCTTTAAGGACATGTATTCCCAAATCTGGTTGCTCACAGCAACTAGTCACAACTCTTAGATCCTACCACAGATCTATGAATGTAAATATTAGGGATGGAGCCCAGAAATCTATATAATAATAATCCCCTACTACAAGATCCTACTGCAGGTTTCAAGATTTTGGTGTCTTCCCAAGTAGAAACCACAGTATGTTTCTCTTTCTAAAAAATTTTTAAAGTAACACTGATCTATATAGCATTATGTAGGTTTCAGGTGTATAACATTATAAATGTGACATCTGTATATAGTAAATTATACCAAATTAGACCAAAAGTCTGTTTCCATCCACCCCCTCCTTTTATGTAATTTAACCACCCATCCCTTCTGATAACCATCATTTTGTTCTCACAATCTACGATACTTTGTTTTCATTTGAGCATGCTTTTCTTCTAAGAGGCTGATTGCAGAAAAGAAGTTGTCACATGATGAAATGGGAAGAACATTGAAGTATATCATTAAACACTGATCTAATACATTTTTTAGTAAAAACTGCCTAACTGCATTTTATGGATAAGTCATCATTTATCCAAGGAGTTCCTGATTGTTGTACACTGAAATTGTAGCTCTCCCCTCATTACAAATACTGCTCCAATAAACATTCTTTGGGCTATTTCATATATCCACACTTAATTGAATTTTAAATAAGTCCAATCTCTCCTGAGTGATATAAATCTGAGTTCAGGAAATGATTTTGAGCACCGGCTTCTTTTACTGCACTGTGAGTTAACACACTGATCATATTAATTTTGAATCTATCTTTAAAACTCATTTTCTTCCTGGGCAAATTTTTAAGTGACTTTTCCGAAGTCAAAATACTCTAAACATGAGGACTGAAATGTAGCTATTGCCAGCACATATGTGTGTGTGTATGTGTGTGTATATAAGTTGTTAGGAGCATACTGTTATAGCAATTTCAGAAAGCAGGGCAGAGAGGTTACTTGTTTCTGCTGTTGCGCTTTCCTTAGTGCCTCAAGTCTTTTTTCTTTGAGGCGTTCCAATTCATCCTCATCCATCTGATCCAGTTTCTGAATTTCAGAATCCAAATGTTCTTCTACTAGTTTGGTAGTCTGAAGCAACTGATTCTCCAGGACTTTTGAAAACATGTCAACAGATGCATCAGTTTCCATTCTTCTAAAAGGTACAGTTCAGCTTTGGTGCTGGGGAGAAAATTAGAAAGAAAAATCATAAAATTAGGGGAAAAGGTATAAACAGAAAGTTTGTGCTCTTGTATTTCCAAAAATTCTAGCAAATAGATAATTTGTAATCCACAGTGTTCTGCTGGCAATCAAACAATTCATGTTAGACTTAAGAATTTTTATTGATGTTTTAAATTTTCAGTAGTTTACAGTTACACCACTTAAAAACTACTTAAAGCAAAGTTGTTTCACTATACTAAGGCAAGGACAAGCCTTTAAGACCATCAGCAGACCAGACCATACTTAATGCTCTTTACTAAAAGAAAAGGGAAGCAGAATAGAAATGACTGTGAACAATGATAGGATTTAAATGTAGTGACGTTTTAAGCATACATATCCATACGAAACTTTATTTCAATACAGAGAAGTTTTTTCATGGTCTCTGCCTAAATGATTTTCATTTAACTTCCAAGAGATCTCATTACAATTGTGAAAATTACAGTGTATGTTGTTCCCTAAGCATTAGTTTTCATTCCTGTTCTCACATTACCTAACAAAATCTACAAGGCTACAAAGAATGATATCAGTATTCATTTACTGACACTCAGTTAATGATGTAAGGCAATATAATGTTCCAAATGTATTTTAAAATGTTATTTGCCCATTATCATTTCTCTGTGTAAAAAGGAATCTAATTCAAGTTAGAGATCTACCTAAAACTATGTATTTTAAAAGAAACACAGTAGTATTTCCTACTAGCAAAAGACAGTAATTTTATGTGTACCCCTGGCTTATCACAGAAATATGATCTCAAATTTGCCCCACCAAACCAGGAAGATGCTGCATCTCAATTAACTGGGATACAACTATAGGTTCTTGGAAACTTCACATTTAAGCAAAAATAACCAAAGTAGGTTCTCAAAAAAAAAATTTTTGTTCAACTTTGGTAGGATTCCCACCCCCACCCCACCCCTCACCAACACTAAAACAAAACAATTCTGAACAAAAACCATGTTATTCCATGACCTGCTATACTACCAAAAAACAAAACCTAAAAAATCTGAATAAACACAGCCTGGCCCACACAGACCCTTTACAAATGTTGAACTTAAGACAAACAGTCTTCCTGCAAACTTCATTTCTCATTCTTTTTTCTTCATAGGAAAAGCAACTGAAATGCATACTTGATTTCATCTTTGTATCCTCAGAGGTAGCAGTGCTTGGGACATAGCAGGTCCTCAGTAAGTATTTGTTAATGTTGAATAACCACATGCTTAGTTTCTGTTCAAATTTTCCTTAAATTTCAGAAGTATTTGAATTTAAAAAACCAACGGTAGTCTCATAAATGTTATAAATTTTTATATTTCACATATAGGGAAATAACTCCTAAGAAAAATGTTAAGACTGTGACCCTCAAGATTGGGTCCGGGATAAGGCAGAAAACTGGGTTTAAGACACTGACTTGCATGCCAGAACCTGTTTTTACTAGCTGCACAGTTGAAGTTTATGTCTGGAGTTTTATGCGTTCAGAATTTAATTCTGGGATAACTGGGAGCAGCAGTTTTCTAGAGCTGCTCTGGGAGGCAGGTGGTAGTGATGACCGCCTTTCAGAAAAGGGAAAGCTGAGCGTGCAGCGGTCCTGGTAACGTCCTATTCTTTCTTCAAAGCACAAGCCTCCAATTCTTCCTTCAGTTCAACTGAAACTGTGAGAAGGGACTTGTCCTCAAATTACCTAGCCATTTCCTTTATCCCCGACGTGCCCCCACCAAAACAACTAAGGAGCCTGATCTTTAACTGCACCCCATAAGCATCCTCGCCACTCACTGGGCACCTGGGGACAGATAAGGGCAGAGTTCAGGTGGTCCCCGGCTTCATCGACTGCCGCGGCGCATGCGCGACAGCCTCCTCCGCAGCATTAACACCCGTCAGAGCCGCGCCCCTCCCCCGCCCAGTTCGGATTTCGCACGGCGCCGTCCGGTGGCACTGGGACACGGTGGCCGGTTTTTCCATACCACCCTCTGCCTTACCTGTTCTCTCTGTGATACCCGAGGAGTGAAGGACCAACGCTGCTACAGAACGCGCCGCTCAGCCTTTAACTGGCAGCGCCTGCCGAGGCTGCGAACCGGCCGTCACTTCCGCCTCCTCATTGGCTGCGATACTCACGCGATACAACCTGCGACACCCAAGGAAGTCGGAGCGGGGGAAGGGGCGGGCGTGCGGCGAGAATTTCTGCGCATGCGCCGCCCTTCCCCCAGCCGGGAAGCCCGAAGTTTTCTATACTTTGCCTACGTTTTTGGATGGCTCGCTCTTCCGGGGAGGGCGCGGTGAAAGTTGTCGCTTCTTACCGCTCAACCTGGAGTTGTCCGACTTTCTCAGATTCCTTAGTGTCCGTACCCACGCTACATCAGAAATGAGAGCTACGATCTTGCTTGGGAGTGGCACTCCAGCTTCGTGTCCATGCTGTTTAATGAACATTTGTACTTTCTAAAAAAGTCAGGTGTAACGTATACGGCATGGTTCATGTCTACATTAGTTAACACCTGTAATGCATCACCGTCCCGGTTCAGGTAGAGAATATTTTTGCCACTCTAGAAGGTTCCCTCGTGACTTCACCCACTACGAATTTTAAAACTCACTCTTTTATTTCGAATACAAAAATGAAGTTCTATTGGGGGAATGAATGGGTGTGTCTGTTTTCTTCAGTGACTGCACATACTTCACAACCTATGGACGGTCCGAGAGGTTCCCTTTGTCCCTTGGAAACAGGGCTCATAATTGGTCTGTTTCTTTACTGAACTTCGTGCGGCTGAGCACATGAGGTACGGCCGTTGAAAGTGGAGGGGAAGCAAGGGCTACTGCTGACCGCGTATCAGTCCCCCAAGTCTGCGTTCCGCCGCGAGGAAGGGGGTCGAGGAGGGCAGTCGCGGACGTGTTTTTCATCATTGTCCACCTGCGGGTTCTAGAACACCCGCGAGCGTCGCCGCTTGGCGGACGCTTGACGGCAGGGGGCGCTCGGGCTCGCGCCTAGGTGGCGGATCAAGTGGGGACGCTCTAGCCGAAGCGCCGCTCTCGATGAGCCGCGCCCTGCGTCCCCACGCCGAGGCGGCGGGGCGATGCGCTTGCGCACTGAGCGCTCACACCATATGTGCCCTGTCCCAGTGCGCGGGTCTGTGGAGAGCCGGGTGCGAGAGACGGCGGCGCGCGGGGAACGAGGACCAAAGTCGGCCAGGGGACAGTGGGCGTGTGAGAGACCCAATAGAAGGGCTGGGGCCGGGAGCGCCGCTGACACGCGATGGGGAAGAAGCAGAAAAACAAGAGCGAAGACAGGTATCCAGTGACTGGGTCCTCACCGCGGCGGCCGGCGCGTTTCAGTGGGTCTCGCGGGTGCCCCCGGCGCGGGGTGGACCAGGGTGGAGGCTCGAGACCGGCCCCGCGGGGCGCCAGGCCTGGACCCAGAGTGGGAGGCGCGGGACCTAGACCCCAGTTCCGGGTGGGTTCCGAGGGCCTCGGCGCCGGGCGGGTCCTCCTAACTTAGTCCCACTGCCACCCTTGGCCAGGCCTGAAAAAATTGGGGTTCCAGGCCTTAGGAGCGGGGCAGTTGCTTTCGGTTCGCGGTTCTCGGCTGGGCCTGCGGGGCCCGGGCGAGTGGGAGTTACTTGAGGCGCTAGTGTTGGCGAGGGTCAAGAAGCGTTTTTATGACTTTCTACCTGTGACTACTTGGAGGGGGAAAGGAGTTCGAATTTAATGTACTTACAGCCAGATTTCCCCCCTCACTCCCCCCCCCCCTTCCCCCCGACGCTCAGGGACGTTGGAGTTACAGGGAGGTGATTTAAAAGCTGGTTCCCCCTTAATTTGGATACGGTTTTCAGTTACTTCGGCGATGGCTCTTCCAGACATCATGCTTTTTGCTTTCCTTCTTCCGGCCTGTCTTGGTCACTTCTTGGCTCCCCAGCACCTCCCCTAAGAAAGGAGGTAAAACAAACCTACAAGGGTCGCTCCGTTCTAATCACTTTAGAAGAATTTGGGCTGGGGGAGGGAGTGTAAGGGTGAATTTAGAGTTAGCCGGAGGTTTTTGGAACATTTTTGTGTCACGTTCGAGTGAGTTCTTTGCGAAAGAGTTTACTTCTTAGTGAACAGCTGTTACTTTCCATCTTTGTATACTACTACTCACCGAACTTAGTTCAAATGTTAGGGGGAGAGTAAGGTAAATTAAAAAACAAAAAACCCAAACCAAACTGTGTTAGTTCATCATCCTGATTCCAAACAGATATGTCTTGAAGTTAAAATATAATTACTAATTAGAAGTTGGAATCCTGGATTGTTACCACACCTGGCATTTATCTAGCTGTTGATTGGCATTAAAAGACCAGGATGAGTCTTGTATTTCAAATACAGGTGTGTTGGAGAAGTTAATTGATTTTAGAATAGAATTTAAGTTAACCAAACCAGATAAATAAGAAAAAGTAAGCAGAATTTCTCTATTTTTGACCGGATTTTTTCCTTGACCAAAAAATAGATGAGTGTAACAAAGTTTCATGTACCAGTTGCCCGACTTCACATTGTTGTGATCTGGTCAGTCTTGTTTCATCCACTTGCTGGATATTTTAAAGCAGATCTCGGGGGTCCTTCGCGTGTAAATCCTTCAGGTGTATTTGATAAACACTTGAGGGGGGAAAAACAAATAAAAACCAGTATATAATCATCAAACATTAGAAATAATGACTTCTTAAATAGTATCAGGTATCCAGTTTCCTAATTTCACTGATTGTCTTAAATTTTTTATTTCCTAACAATTCGTTTGTTTGGTTCAGGGTTAAAGGAGTCCATTCTTTGGATTAACAAACGCATGTTATTCTTTCACTTCCAGTTTTTTTACTTACCAGACTCCACAGTGGGAAAAAAACTATTCAAGATATGTATTACCTGTGTATTTTTAGTGAAAAATAAGTTATTGACTCATTAAAATCTTCATGGATGGTTTGAACTTTAAGTTGCAAACACTGGGATGCTAAATGATTGGTTTTGTAGTATAGAAGAAATGTTAATAGGTTTTTTGTTTTCCCTTGAGACTAATCTGTAGTTTTTTATTTTGGGGAGTAATGTTGAAGGGAAAGTGGTGGCAATTAAATTGATAAACACGTACATTTTCTCAGGCTGTTACCAGGTGTGTTATTTAAACTACTCCTTTGCTTAAAGGCTTTTTACACTGTGTCTAAGGAATCCCAGGGGTTTGCAGAGATTCCCCCTTTGATCTGAACTTCTTTGCCTTTTCTGGCATTCCACTTAAGATATTTTTTGGAGTGAGGGAGAAACAGAGAAGTTGCACTGCTTTGTGTGTGATTTTGCTTTGATCTTTTGTATGTTTGAGTAGTACTTTTCTTCAGGATACTTTTAATTATTTGTAAAAGGGACAAAAACACAAAATGGGGAAAAAGTGGAAAGGAAGAAAGTCCTATTTTAGGATTAATATTCTTATTTTTGTAAAATGAGATAGTCACCTAGCTTTATTGTCTTCTATGAAGATCCCCATATTAAAGATACTATATTCCTCCACCTCCCCTTCCCTCCCAGCTATCCTAAGCCGACTGTACTTCTGGCCAGCTAGTACTGGGTGAGAAATGGTCAGCTGCTTATTATTCAGCTAAGGCATCAAGTCACTTAACCAGTTTTTGGAAAGAACAAAATACTTGATTTTATTTATTTATTTATTTATTTATTTATTTAAGATTTATTTATTTATTTATACAAGCACTGGATACAGTCAGAAGCACGGGAGGGTGAGAGAATTCACCAGAGCCAGAGTGGGGAGCAGAGCAGGCAGAAGGACCAAAGTACACTGCTGAGGGGAGCAGCAGGCGGCAGGAGAGGTCTGCGCGCCATGTGGGACCCTCCTCTGGTGGCCGGGGAGCAGCCGGGGATTGAACCGGCGCTGCAGAGGCTGCGGGCAGCTTCACAACCCAGCGCTCAACCGCTGCGCCACCGGGGAGGCCCCAAAATACTTGATTTTTATGCTTATTTTAACTACTTAAATCTCGTGTCAAATCAGCTTTAATAATCAATATTCTATAATTTTACTCTGATACCATATATTTAATCTGTAACTTTTGTTTAAAGACTTAAGTTTTGGGGATTTTGTTCTAACTTGTCTAATTCTGAGATGACATTTTGATAGGGTTTTCAAATTTTCCTGCCTTTTTTCAAGTGACTGATGAAACTCTTGATGAGACAAGCGGTAGTTCAGTGTCTACAGACCATCATAACATAAGGCAGTATTTTAATTTTTCCTGTAACCTTTCCAGTCGTCAGTTTGCATGATGCGATCTTTTGGAATCTTGTGTACTCTAGTAGTGTCCTCTTGTTTGCATTTACATACTATGTTTGTTCTCTTATTGATGTCTAGAGCAAAAAAATCTCGATTATCCTTTTTTATGGTTATCCTCACATTCTTCCGTTTAGTTTTGTGTGTTTGGGTCTCTATGTGTGTTAGTTGTATTTTTGAGTGTTACAGTTATTAATGGAAATAATACAACAGTTTATAGAGTGAAGGAAGATAATTATTTCACTTAATCCCACAGTCAGATATTGAGGTTGGGATACCATGCAGGAACTAGAAAGTCTTTCAGATTCAGTAGAGTTTTGGGGAGCCTTCAGTCTCAGATTATTTGTTGTGGTTCTCTATACCAGAGTTGAGCCAGTGTAGTCGATTCCACTACTCTTTGCTTTTAACTACACATAATGTGTCTGTCATGACTGGCAAACTCCCTCTTGAGAGTTCTAGCTATCTCTGAAACAGCTGTTGGCTATAGATGGTTGCCTTCTCCTCATAAATTTCTTAATCAGGTTTGATCATTGTAGCAGGGTCCCTGCCTGTGATGATCATGATCTGCTTAAGGAACCTGTCTAGATTATGTGACTTTCTGTGTAAGTTTAGCAGGTACTCCAAAGCTTTCCAGAGAGGGAATCCAGGTGACAAATAGTCCAAATATTCTAGTTTAACAAAGTAATTGATTGCTCAATTGCATATATTTGATTTTTTTTAAAACCTTTATCTGTATAAATTAGACCAAAAAAGAAAAAAAAGTTACAATCTGAGCGCCCTCTTGACTTGTTTCTGTGCCGATTCTTTAGGAAGTTGTTATGTGGACAGAGTCTTAGTTTGCCATAAATAAGAAAGCTGATGCTAAATTTTAGTTGAACCTCTCCCACTTGTGCTGGTGACCTCTGTGAAGACCTGATATTTGCCCCCTAGTTGTGTTTTATTTACTCTTCTGAGTTTATTCTAGTCTTGCAGTTGTACTATATAAGGTAGGCAAGTTATTGTTGAACTAGGAACTAGCAGTGCTTAGGTTAGAGAAGCAGTTCCCAAAATTTTATATCTGAGGACCTCTTTACACTTCTAAATTACTAAGGAGCCCAAAAGTTTTTTCTTTGTAAGTTATATTTGTCAGTACTTATATTCTACAAATTAAAACTGAAAAGCTCTTAAAATTAATTTTAAAATAAAGCATATTAGATATTAATTTTTTTTAAGTATGGCGTTAAAATATTTTTGCAATCTTTATTGTCAGGCTTAGTGGAAGATAGGTTGTTTCTCATCTGCTTGTGCACTCATTGTGCAGCAATATCACACATCATGTGGTCTTTGGAAAATTTCACTGTACAGATGTGAGAAAATGATTGACAAAGACCTCGGTATTACTTGGAAAGTTATTTTGACCTCCTGAGTTACTTGAACTGCTGGTTTAGGGATTCCAAAGCAAGATTTCGGCACTTGTGAAACATTTCCAAGCTGTTTGACCAAAGGGTTGTTTTGTTTTACAAGCATGTTAGAATGCTTGAGAATCACCTAAGGACAATTTAAGACATCTGTGGACGTGTTAATACTCTTGATAGTTTCCACCTTTGCGTTTTTTTTCTTTTTTAGTGTATAGGTGGATTTATCAATATCTTTTTAAAAAATCTGTTGGGATTGATCTTTAATTGGGAATCCCATTAAGTTTTTACATTTCTTGATGCGCTTGACAGCTTTATGGTGTTGAATCGTTCCTTTCAAGAAATGTATTGATTGTCTGCTTAAGCTGTTAAGTGCTAATTTTTTAGGTGCTGAAAATTTGGGTGAACAAATTAATAATGGCATGCTGTTTGGTTAATTTGAATGCTTATCAGTAAAATTTTATTTTTTTATTTTGAGTTCTTAGGATATTTGTTGCTTGACTTTTTTTCTTTAAAGATTTATTTATTTATGCATACACGGGCTGGGGCATAAGCCACAGATGCGCAAGGGTGAGAGGATTCACTAGAGACAGAGTGGGGAGCAGAACAGGCAG